TATATAGATGAAATATTTTTATAAAATAGTAATTGTATGTGGTTAAACTTTTCATTTTATTATATACAAACGTAAAATTATTTCTAGTACATTGCTGTTTGATTTATAGTGCAATACATATTTTGAATAATTAAATGTAATGTTGATGTAAGGATTACAGGAAATTAATAAATAGAAATGTGCATAAGTATAATGAACACTACACTACTTATTAAATATATGTTTGATTCAATATATTGTGAATTATTTAATAGTGGATAAAAAAAATCATATGGCAAGGTAAGATCTAAATTTGGACCACCTACGAAATAATATTTTGATGGTTTTGACACATCGTGGAATGTAACATAACTAATGATATCTACTTTTAATATGTTTGTGCAATTCTCTGGCCAACAAGTTGACCATGATATATCAGACTCGTTAGAAAAATAAATACCTATTCCTTGTATATTATAATTAGTCAATGTCTTGGAATTTGCCAAAGCAGAGAACAAAATATGTAAGTGTATAGAAGTTATCAATCCAGAACAATGCAATCGGTCATTGACTATTTGTCCCTCTACAATATTTTGAGGTATTCTATCAAGTAAAATTTGTGCCCAATCAGCTGTATTATTGTTAGTAATATTGCCAGTTTTTGAAACATAAATACTATATTGATCTGTATCAGTAATATTAAACATAGAATTCTTCAGAAGAAAATGCATAGTTCGATTTTGTAATTCTATACAAGATGATGAGTTGAAGTTATCAGTACTTAAAGACACAGAACATCGTAATTTAATGTCTTCTCCAAAGTTGACAATGTGTCTGTTTATTTCACTACATTGGCCACTTCTCATAGCTATAGGCAATGTTAAGAAACTATCGGTTTTATTAAAAATAACAGATTTAATGTCGCCAGTCTTACTTAAACTACCAATGACTAGTGGTTTTCCAAACATGTAGCCGGGATTACCGCTAAGAGTAAAACTCTTTTCTTTATCCAGATCGCTCCACTCATAAACTACTTCAAACTGTTGATAGAAACTTTGAGAAACATTGGCTATAATGAAATATGCATTAATGCTGTTAAGTCCCATTGAACCATTATGAATAATCAAGTACTTCACACTCGTAACGACATTGTAACATGATCCATTAATACAAGACCCTGGTCTAACAGTATTATTGCATTCCTTCCAAAGATATTTACAATAATAATTATTTAATGTTAGACACACATTCCTCGGACATATCTGCAAATGAAAATTCGTTATAATATATACATATATATGTATATAACGGTAATTTGAAAAATGCTACAATTTTATAAGTACCTGTTCTGACATCTCATTGTAAGTTTCATTTAATAAATGTGGTGAAGCAATAACAGTAAAATTATTAAATGCCATTGGGAAAAGAAACCTGTTTGTATTAATTAACTCAGTTTGCAAACACCGATCCTTCCATTGACGAAGGTACATCAAAGTCTTTTTGAATGTGCATGTATCAATAAATCCAGATTGTAAAATTTCTAAAATGTAAACATAAAAAACATTCTTTTAAAATATTTTTAATAATAATTGTACTTACATTATGATTATATTCTACATATACCAAAAGGTTGGATATATGCATTTTGTATTATCCACATGATGTCACCATCTTGGTAAGCATCAGAAGAATTATATTCAGGTACATGTACTTGGTCTTCCCATTTCCATTTCAGTCTATCTGGATTTATTGCCACTCGTAAATCTTTTTCAGTTTTCATATTCTACATAAAATTGAACATCTCAGAAATCATAAACGACAAAATATTTTACTTAATTTATATTGAAAACTTACCAAGTCATTAATAACACTGTATGTTGGTGGAAGATTGTCATACAAAATGCAGAAGAGATTGCTTGCTAGTTTTTCAAGTACAAATGATGTATTATTCCGTTGTATAAAATTTCTACCATAACAGTAACGTTTATCATATAACTCAGCTTGATTGTA